CGTGAATGGTCACCCTTTTCCTCCTGCATACTAACAGCTCCTCCCAACTCATCATTGTCATCAAATTTGCTGAGCCTGTGCTCAGTCTTCAGGTTGTCAATCAGGAATTAAGGATATTGGCTCAGGTATTGATCCCAGAGTCAAGCAGTCATACTGCAGATCACCACACTTCAAGCCTGATGGCCTAGCCAATTTTCCAGCAGCCTTATGACCCAGTTATCCAATCTAGAACTCACCAATTCAGCTATAAAAGTACTGTGGGAGACTACATCAAAGTCCTTGGTAAAGTCAAAATATACAACATCCACAAGTTTCCCCTTGCCCACACAGCCATTCATCATTAGTTACTGGTGCTACAGAAATAACTAAAAATTAATTTATGCCTTCAGCAACTGGTCTACCTTGCTTTCAAGTAACTCTAGGTGTTTAGTGCTTTCACATATCATAATTATATTTAAGTATAAAATTCTGTTTTCAAAACACATTGTGTTGTGACCAAGTTTCCTAACTGTTCTTACTAAAATTTTTGATCTCAACCCATTTAAAGCCTTACAAAAATGATAATGCCTTTAGCGGTATCCATATACTTAATTTTAACCAATTTATTTGGAATAAAGAAATGGAGGAAAATTCTTATGTGTTGTAAGTTTCACTATGTTTATGGTTTGAAGTTTTACACACTCACACAAGACCTCAGTCAACAAGATTATTCTGCTTTTCTCTCATTCCGGTTCCCAAACCATCAGGCAAAGCACCCAGACCTGCTCAATTTCACTTAACAGAAACAAAGCTAAAGGAGCACCATCAGTGTCTCTAAATAAAAAAATGGCTAAAACTTAGCTGCAGCACCCTTGTGGATGGAAGAGATACTTATCATATGCATGTTGATTGGAATGGGGGGGAAAACGTAGCTTCAGAAATAATGTCTACCAAAGTAGCATGCTACTGCCTTTTTTAAAAACTGTTTAAATAGATGCAGTGTATATATTTGCACAATTAAAAAAAAAATAGTTAAAAATTATGCAATCCATGCAGGCAAACTAAAAAATTAGACATTAAGAAGTTCTTAGTCTTACTGTACTGGGTAAGCTACAGTCCTACTTTAAATGAGGTTACATATTTTACTGATACTATGCTGGCTTATGATGTTCCTGAGATGAAAATAATCAAACTGACAAACTAATCAAACTGTCAAATACTTCTGCTGTGAGATAATTCTCCGACCTGCAACTCTGACGTGATTCAAGGCTGTTGCTCTATCAGAGAATAGAGCCAGTGGTCTGGGTTCATCCTTATGTGCACAGTGACCTGCTTCCTGAGAGTTTACCCGGTTAAGACACCTAGTAATCCCTGGGTGAGGGTGGGACCTGAAAGTATCCTGGAGAGGAGATCAAATTAAAGTCTCCTGGGGCAGAAAGGGTACGCTGTGGGCAGGGATACAGCCCTCAGTTCCCCTGTGCCCTCTGTTCTCAGACTTCTGATTCCAGGGCTCTTTCTGAACATGCCCACCCATTGAGAACAATTCTTCAGGCTGGTTATGTTAATCTTGAAGCAGTTGTTCACTAAACCTGCTAACAAGAAAAATGGTTACTGATTAAATGGTTAGTGATCTGCTGTTAATAGTCAGCACACTCAGTGAGTTATGAATGCTAACCTATGTCCAAGTCATTACTTAAATTACTGGTTTATTATGAAATGTGTTTTCAATATGAATCTTAAAAAGGTAGCATTCAGTAAAACATGAAAGCAAAATGAGCAGCTAAATTTAAATGCAGTTACAGTGCAGCACTCTTCTAAATTTGTTTCTTGATTAAATTATATCAGAAAATTCTGAATTCAACCTACACCAAAGATGATAATTCATTGATTAGCTGATAGCATCAGCTTGATAACTTGCAACTCAAAAATAATCTCCTGCTCTAATATATATCAGACAAGTGAAATTAAAATTACTTTTTCTTAGAATCAAGCTTCCCACTCTCCATCCTACTGTTCTGCTCCCAGTCATTAGATCCCTCTGGATTAGTGCCCTGCTGTTGCATTAGATTGCTGAGGCATTAGATTGGGCAATTCCAGTGTAACACTACCATTTTAGGATTATGATTCACATCATTTCAGGACTGACTTGTGGATGGCAATGCTGGTTCATGCTGTGTTCAAGTAATGGTAATGCATAACCCATGTTTTAAACTTTTAGAGCAGTGCCTCTGTTAGCAAGTGGTAGGGCTATAGCATTTGGCTTACTACTCATGCAACAGAATTACTTGAACTAAGAAAACCATATCCTTTTTCGTAATACATCAGTAAAGGAAAATTAAAGTCCACCCCCTTCCTGGGAAAGTGAACAGATAGTTCCTCTAGTGAGAAATGATGAGTTGATATACGAGTGCACTAATTACTCCCAGTTTCACCCTGTCCCTTGCATCAAGTCTGGTGCTTTCCTGTGCAGCTGGTAAGCCGCTTCAGATCACCCAGCAGAAACTGCAAACATTAAACATTTTCCCTTATGTAAGTTTTCAATGTTTCAGGAGCTGTACTGGCTCACTGAAGAGTCACACAAATGTCAAGAGCTGGCACTGAAGCAGCCAGAGGTGACGGGGAGAACCTGACAGGGGTGATACCAGCAATAATCTGATTAACTCACCCCGTAAAGATTTACCTTGACAAACCCATGAACTGATCTGAAACTCCTTGTTTGGAAAATGCAACATCAAACACTTTTTAAAGCATCAATCGAGACCAATGTAAGGTAATTGAAGTATTTTCCAATATGTATTGACTAACTAACACCATTGACTTATCACTGATGATGATTAAGATTATTTTAAACTCTTCTGTATCAAGTTAGGGTCTTACACACTGATTTGTGAATAGCACACATGACAATTATGGAGTGTGCTAAAAGATGGGCTGGGCACGCCATAGGCCAGGCTCCCACAGCACTGTGCCCGCCTTCAGTGGGTCACAACGTCTACTTAAAATTGTACTATTTAAAGTCGTGCTACTTCCCATCCAAAAGAAATATTTGAAAAAATCTGCACACATTTATGTTTCCCTAGGTCATGAAAAGTACATCACACAGTTCAACCTACAGGGTCAAAACTCTCAACCGGGCCTAAGCTGTATCCTATTTCCCCCATCCGTTTCTGGTTTTGCCCGAGTCCACGCTGGGCATTTCGCTGGACAGAGGGCAGAACAGCCCGTCAAACGCGGGCCGTCACAGCAGCGGCCGGGACGGGGCGGCGCCCATCGGGGCCGGGGCAGGTGCCGGCTGCCGGTGGCGCCCGGCAACCCGTCTGCCCCCTCGGCTTTTCCGGGGCAGCGGGAGAGCCGCGACGACTGCGGGGAAAACGGTGCCCGAGCCGGGGGTGGGGTGGCCTCAGCGCGCCGCTCCCTCGGGCTCCGCCGGCCGCTCGCAGCCGTGACCCCGCGCAACGCCGGCGACGCGGGGGATGCGGGCGGGACGGGCGGCGGCGGCAGTGGCAATGGAGGAAGGCGGGCGGCAGAGACGGAGCGCTTGGCGCTGGAGCTGGGGCGGGAGAGGAGGAAGCAGTGAGTCCGGCGGGGGACGCGGCGAGGCCGGGCACGGCGGCGGCTCCGGACGCGGCCCCGCAGCACCGCCCGTGGGGGGCTCCCGCCGCCTCCCTGCGGCAAAATGGCCGCTGCCACGGCGGGCTGGGCCCACGGCCTGCCCGGAGCCCCTCAGCGCGGCCCGGCCGTGCTGGGAGCGCCGCTGGCTCTGCTGGGCACCGGGAAGGGCTGGCCCAAGGGATGCGAGAGGCACGAGGAGCCAGGAGAAGCGGGATAAATAATGTCAGCCGAAAGGGGAGATAGGGCGGCTGCCGTGGTTAACCGCAGCAGGCAGCTCGCCGCTCGCTCCCTCTCCTCCCAGTGGGATGAGCGAGAGAAGGAAGGAATGGGGAACGAGAGAAAATTCGCGGGTCAAGACAAAGAGAGTTTAATAACTATAACGGAACAGCAACAACAAAAAGGAAACAAACCCAAGAAAAGCAACTGATGCAAAAACCTCCAGGTGCTCTTGGTGGCAAAAACCACCAGCAGGACAATGCCTTTCCCGAGGCAAAGCAGCCCCAAAAAGCCCCAACACCCTAGTTTTTATTTCTGAATATGACATGATATAGTATGGTCAGTGGGATCAGCTGTCCTGGCCATGTCCCCTCCCAATTCGCTGCACACCCCCAGCCCTCTCACTCCTGAGGTGAGGAGCAGAAAAGGCCTTGACCCAGTGTAAACAATGCTCGACACTATAACATCACTGTGCTATTAACACTCATCACAAATCTGAAACATAGTCCCATACCACCTCCTACGGAGGGAATTAAATGTATCCAAGGTAAGCACAGTACACTGGGTTGGGAAGCCACTATGGGGAAAAACAGAGTAGACATTTACACGGGTGCATGCCTTGCTGGGGGAAGACGAGTGAAATGGACAACAAGATCCTCTTCGTGCACACTTCTTTCCACAATGTTGAGTAAAAGTGGAAAGCTGGATTTTACCTACCTCTAGTGTCAGTAAATACCTCTGAGACCTCTAGGTAAGGTATGCAATCTCTGCATGCAGTTTGCAGGGATGAGGACTTGTTCCTGATAGCAGTCTGTTTCCTTGCTAAAGCAGCAGCTGTTTCAGTGCTGTGATAATTGTTGATGCTCATGCCTGGTGGTTTTTTGTTTTTTGGTTTTTTTTTTCCCAGTTTGCTTAGGAAGCTACACATTTTTCCCTGTGTTGAACAACATGATTGCCTTTTGAGTGTTAATGAATGAAAACAGGAAATGTTAGAAGCTCCTGTGCTGCCATAATTCAGACCCTTAATATTTACATTTGCATACCATTTTCAAGCATTCTATTCATAGTGGGTTTTTTGCCTGAACAGTTTCTTTCAGTGTCTGAACTGCAGACCTCTTCAAACTAGTCCTGCAGTTGTATAAAATGTTCATTCATTGATGGAAGGGGAAAACCCAGTACTAACAGAGTCAAAAATGGCACCTTATGTATTCAAAATGGCACAAAAAGTAGCTTGGACATACTTGCACTGACGTGTAAGCAAATGACCTTTAATAAATCTGACTAAGCAGCGTCTCAGGGTAAAGAGATCAGTTGTCCTCTACATGCACCACTTCTTTTATCTGGCACATGATCCTGACATTAATGGTATTCAGGTAAAAAGTTGAGTTGTGGTGACTTCCTTATGGATAAAACAAAATATATATTTAATTAAAACCTTTATGGTGATGGCATGACAGTAAAAGACTTTCAGCTCCAGGTGGGTTCTACAACTATTTTCTTTGTGTGCAAATAAACAATATTATTATTGTCAATTTCCCAGGAGTTATGTATTGATCTTAATTGCCAATGACCAGGCTCATTAGACATCTCTATCTAAACCAGTGGCATGTATAGTCAATGAATACAGAAAAGCTTTTTTGAGGTGTGATTCATCTGCCCTACTTTGCCTGGCTGTTCTAGCATGAGATGACTCACACCCTAGGAGGTGCCAGTTTCTCTCCCTTGGGTAGAAAACAAGCTGAGGATGAGTGGCTTGCAGATTGATGTCTGCATTCCTTCACTGCCATCTCACCCTTGTCATCTTTTTACTGGCATATCTGATTATTGTGCCAATTAGGCAGTTTGCTAACAGCCCACCTACCACTGTCATTTAGCAGTCATGAAGAAGAGATTTTTATTTCACAGAGTAAATTGAATCATCCCTGTCCATAAGGGGTCTGTTCCTAATGTACCTACTGATTCTCAATGATTGTAGATGTAGTACTGTGAAATCTTTCAGATTTTTTTCTGACTGTAGTGAAAGTCAGCTCAAATCTGGCTCTGTATTGTTGTGATCAAGATTCAGTACACATTTTGATTGGGAAATGTCATGGCAAATGTTTCTGGGAGAGAGAGAAGGCATATAATACTGCAGGCATATAATACTTCTTATTAGACAAAGAGGTCGTAAAGACATATGCATTTCAGCTACTTAATAATGTTGATGGAGCTGTATGTTACTTCAGCTTGTGAGATTTCATTTCCTACGGTTTTCCTTGCCAGGAAAGCTGCAGCATTTTCCCAGGGCGCTGCTGACTGCAAGTGTCAGGAGTCCGTAGCTTTCAATACTGTGTGTGCTCTTCCATGTGATGCCCCTGCACTGTGCAATATTGTTTCTGCTTTGTTCCTAGATTCTGAAGGCATCTGTGCCTCTTATCTTCTACAGGACTCAGTAAAGATCTACCATATTATAGAGCTGATGCCCTAGAGCTGATGACTTGCCCTGAGCCTCTTCTGACTTTTCTCTTGAGTTTCTCTCTTGACAATAGAAAATCGCTTCAGGCAGCCTGATACATGTTCCAGATATCCAGACCTGGGCAGCAAAATCTGCAGGAAAATGTTTTTCATCCTAAGTGGCTGCCATTGTCAAGTAAAATAACACCTGTAGATAGCCTTAAAAAGAAATCTAGCATTTTTTTCTCTTATAGTTTCAATCAGAGCATTCTTATCTGAATTGCACATTTTTTTCTTATTTTCTTCACAGGAGGGTTTTTTTTTATGCTTAGTATACAAGCATGTGGTTAGGTTCTCATGATGACTTAAATCTGAGGTTTCAGGATTTACAGGCTTCCTTCTGTGATGACTGTAATTGTCCATTGACATTGAGAAGATTTATAGGCCTTGAATAGTCTAATCATGTTTAACAGGTGAAGTTGCAGGTAAAAAGCGCAGTCCCTCGAAGCACAGACCAAGTCTCTGGGCAGGTAGGCAGCTATACACAGCTTCATTAAATTCACTGTAACAGATATGTGGCATGACCTTCACTTCCTATCACAATTAGAAATAACTCCAGAAATGCAAAATAGGCCAATACATTAAATCCCAGAAATACTTAACAAGCCACTCAGAGTGATTTAGTTCTACATCCCTTCTCTGTCAGGGCAGAGATTGCATTTTATACACTGCCTAAAATAGAGTGGTTTCACCCTGCATACATTCTGGGTGCTATGGGAATATTAAATGTTTAATAACAATTATATATTTTTTTTAAAAAACGGTTTCTGTTGCCACATGGAAAAAAGGCTTTCTGTCAGTGTAGCAATTACAGTGTAACACCTGACAATTTACCATTTCTGTACACATGTCATCAGAACAAAATATAATTGGAATTTGTCTTCCAATTTTGTTAATGGTGCAGAAAGAATAATAAAATCTAATAAAAGAAACTTTGTATATAGTCATGGCATGGTAACAGAAATTGAAAACCGGAACCACTGGATTTAAAGAACTCATTCTTCCTGTGTTTTCCCTCTACATCTAAGCACTTACCTAACATTCCTTTGAAAATGAAAACAACTTCATTTTGATACAGCTCTACAGCTCAGCTCTGGTTACAGCTTTGACTGTTTCTAATTTTCAGTGTTATTTCCTTTCAAAAAATCCCATTTTAGCACTCACTGCCGTCATAATTTCCTCTTTTCCAAGCTCTGAGAAGTTGATAGAAATCTGCTTTGCAGAAACCTTATCTGTGTTGAAATGATAGCAGCAATGTCGTAAAATTTTGTCTTTCTTCTTCCTAGCCATCTGCCCCTTTTATTTCGAGTCGGAGAAAACAGGCAGCAGCAATCAGATTTCCTTTTGTTTTCCTGCATCTAAAGGTTTTTGAGTCATGTTTCAATGCTATCTTTGGCTGTGTTTGACATTTTTGTCTCTAACAAGTTCCCAGTCCTGTCATTATTTTTTGCCAGTATGACCCCTCTCTAAATTAATGTTGATAAAGACAAAAAAAGAACAATGGAGCAAGGAGGGTTTGGAAGCCTTGCCATTCAAGATGTCTGTCCTACTGTTCTCCAGTGTGTCTCTTTCACTGAAAACAAACTTGGCTTACCTTAAATTACTCTTTATATTTCTTCACTATTTCAGCTCTTCATCCCTCCTGATTCCAAGCTTACCTGTTCAACTCCATATGAGCAGTTGGTTTGCTTCTGTAGCTTGCAATTGAAATCTGTTGTTTCAAGCTATGAAGAAATGTCACTGAATTTGAGCACAAGGAGTTCAAGAGGTGATGCAATTTCTCAGTAATCAATATCTGTCATCAGAGCTTTGGTTTCTCAGAGGTTAATTACTTCTTGAAGAGCATTTCTTATGGACATATTTAGAAAATGAGTATCTGTGTTGACAATGGAAGCTCTCCTTTAAACTCCCCCCTCACCCCCCAAAATATTACAGCCTATTGGTATTGTAAAGCATTTCCCAAAGGGCCTTTTTTGTATAGTTTGTGTTCTCAGTTCTGTTGGAATATCTCAATATGGGCACTGAAAAATTGAGGTACCCAAGAACCATTGACTATTTTTTTGAGAAGTTTGCCTTCCAAACTTAACTTTAAAGGACAAAACCACAAGCTGCCTCTGCATTTTCATGCATTGTGTTTTTTGCTTGCACATATCCTGATGTTTTCTGACTTTTGAGACCTCACAGGCAAGAGCATTTCTCCATAGACATCTCCTCAAAGCATGAATATGGTCAATAATTTACCAATAACGTCCTTTTGATGTGATCAAGATCACAGGGTTCATTGTAAGACACTAAGCTACCATCTGGCCACTTTGAAGCATGAGAATCACCCAGCACCTTGTCTGAAGCACGCCAGGTGGGTTGTGCTCTCATCAAAGTCCCCTGCTACCTTCTGCTTCTGGTCATACCTTCCAAGGCAGAAAGAGCCTGGTTTTCATGGTACCTTTCAGCTTTCTGGCTGAATATACAGGATACAGAATTAATCAATGGGCAAGAATATATTTTCCTAAAAAATGGTGTCTTCGGGTCCTGTATTATTTTTTAACACTCATCTGACTTTAATTACTCACTTTCTTTTCTAATAGTCATAAAATATCATTTGTTTTGATTGGTTTTGATATATATGCAGTTTAGGAAATGACTACTAATCACTGAGCAGTAAGTCAAATTGAAGAATTCAGAATTTCAAATAGCACATCTCTCAGGCATATTCTTCTTTTAAAGAACATACTCATTGGGCATCTTCTTTTAGATGTAAAATTAGGGTCAATGTTCCCTCTACATTTTTTTAAATTCTGATGGTTGGCTAGAAAATTATTATATTTTAGGAAATGTCTGTCTTGGGTTTTTGTGGAAGTAATTTTATTCATAAAGTAGAAATGCTTCATTGTTTTAAAGGCATTGTAACCATAGAGAAAAATACATTTAAAAATGGACAAGATAATGTAACTACATAGGAGTGATCAATAGATACTTCTTCTAAAAATATATTTGACTTGATTTTTTAAAATTCCAATAATAGGACTAGTACAAGAGCCATTTATTGTCTATTGTAGCAATTTATTGACTTCTTTTAATACCACAGGCAGATGCTTGAAAGCTCAATATTTGAACTGAAAAACACTGTAACAGAACTGGAAAAAAGTCTTAACAGTATTGAAAATGAAAGTAAGTGAATTACAACAGTCTTGCTAATTGCTTAGGAAATCCAGAAAAATAATTATTTTGGGAAGGACCTACAGGGGTTCAATGTTTTATTTGGAAATTTCAATTTTCACTTTTCAAACATGACTATTAAAACTGTGGTGCTTCACATGTGAAATTAAGAAATGCTACATGTGGCCATGCTAGCTTTTTTTGGTTAATTATTAATGAAACTATGAATAATATGAATTCACAGAGTTGGTTATTATTCTGACCACAGTAAGCCTAGTGAAAATTTTCCTTGATTTATATTTTCAAGCTCTTTTATATGCAAGATGCTTGTTATGAGGATTACTAAGTGAAGATTTTCTCAGTCTCCAGTTAGTTAAAAGGAACAGTTTTAAAAAATGCTTTTGTTTAAAATGACATGAACTAATCTGGGAAATACAATACTTCTGTATTTGTTTTTTAAGATAATGAATGGAAAATCAGATATGAAACTCAAGTAGAATTGAAAAAACAGCTGGAAAGGCAAATTAATATTCTTTGAGATAAGGTGGAGCTTATTCGTGGAAGTACAGCAGGTAGAAATGGCTATTCATAACTTTTTCAATATAATTAGTGATGATTAGATATGTTGAAATTATATCAACGGGTCACAATTTTATGCTTATTTGTAGATAAACTGTCCATTGTTTGCTCCTTTGATAAAATGCCTGTGGTAAGTACTGTGACATTTAGTTGGCTTAACAACAAATCACAGTCTAGTTGGAAAACTCGTGTAGTGTTTGGTTTTTTCATGACAAAAAATAGCAGCAGCCTGGTCTAGAAGCCAAAGCAATCAGTTCTGTTTATGTTTTTATTGTTTCATATATGCAATTGCTTATAAAATGTAGAGTAAAATCCTTAAGTAGGAAGTAATAAAACCTGAATGTTTTGGGAAGAGTTATGTAGTGAAATTTTTTCCCGAGTGAAGGTTTTATAATTGAATCTACAGTACAGCATGTGAGATAGAATAGCTGGACTAGATCTATGAATAAATAGAAACATTAAACCTCTTGGAATCATTTAGTCTTTGGCCACTCTCACTGTAAAAAATGTCTTCAGTTGTGACCAAATGGAATTCCAGCTGTCACTGGGCACTGTTTAGAAGAGCTTGGCTTCCTCTTCTTCATTCCTTCCCATCACATATTTCTACACATTGATAAGAACCTCTGGGCCTTCTTTTCCACAGGCTGAACAGCTGCAGACTTCTCCACCTTTCCTCATCTGTCAGGTGCTCTGGTCCCTTAATCATCTTCATAGCTCCGTATTGGGACTTGCTCCAGGGAGTCCATATCATTCTGGTACTGAAGAATCCAGAACTGGATCTGGCACTGCAGATACATCTCACAAACGCTAAAGATAAGGGTAAGATTACCTCCCTTAACCTGCTGGCAGCATCTTCCTAATGCAGCCCAGGCAGCCACAGGCCGCCCTTGCAGAAAGAGTGCATTGATTTCTTGGGGTCACCTTGCTCACCAAGACCCCAAAGTCATTGTCTCCCTTGGTGCTTCCCGGCCAGTCAGCCCCAGCATATACTTGTGCCTAGGATTATTTCTCCTCCAAGGGCAGGACTGCATTTCCACTCCACATGTTTCCTCTCTGTCTATTTCTACAGCTTCTTAAGGCCCCTCTGCATGGCAATGCAATCCTCTGTTATATCAGCCAATACTCCCAGTTTTGTATCAGCTGTGATAACCTAGATAAATAGTTGCAGTAACGTTTTGCATGATATAGTCACAGGAAAACTTCTCATTTTACAGTAAATTTTTGCATTTCTGAAGGAAGTGTCTGTTTCCATTTTTAAAATTTTATTCCTTAATGCACTCAGACTTCATGTCCTTTATTTCAACATAGCATAAAATATTTTTTTCTGCAATCCTGAGGAGAAAATTGCAAGAAAAAATCCCCGGCAAATATTATCTCCATTTTGTCTTCCAAGGTAGTAAATGAAGTAAAAATGATTTTAGATTCAGAATTGCTTTATCCTTAGCCTGTCATCTGCTGAAATATTTTACACCTTTTCTGCTTCTTACCACTTTTAGAATTAGGGAAGTTAGGTAAGGATGTGATAATGCCTTGTAACACAAACAAGGATAATGAACATTATGAAGCAGGGCTGTTACGATTTTTATTCCTGTTGCTTATGCTTACAGAAGTGTTACCCTCTGACTTTTTTTGGTGCTTCAGATTCTGAAGATTAATGGGAGTTTAGTGACCCTAGAGGAGGCTGCATGCTCTGTTAGTGGGAAGGATAATTATCTACTGTAAGCATGGTGTGAATAATTAATTGCTTTTTCTGATTTGACCCATGGCTTTCAAACAGTTGACACTTCTGCCAGTTTTAGTATTGTCTTAGAGACAATGGTGTTTTGTAGGTAGGCAAGATTTTTTTCTTTAACAGTCAATTAAAAAAAGAACAGAATCTTCCCCATCCCACTTTCCTGTTTCACTGAGTTGATCTGAAAATACAACTGGGATTATGTTCAAAGAAAGGTCTTGAAGACAGAACACTGATCTAGAAAATTTACCTCAGAATCTGCTTTGGGCCATGTTATTCCTGTCAGCCTGGTAAAGCACAGACTGGCGTGCATAGTTACAGTATCACAAGTATTTATTTCTGTCCTGTTGCCAGTACTCTCCTAACCTACACCTTGCCAGTCACTCCAGGAGGCATTACCAGAGAGATAATCTCCTTTCCCAACAATCCAGTACATTTCTAATCCCTGCTAAATACTGCATTGCCTCCTCACTAATGAGCCATGGTTCTGAGAGGTTTGATTACTGTTCCCATAAAAGGAAGAATGCCAGCCCAACTGGAAGGTTCATACTGACAGGAGGAGTCTAGAGGAGAGCTTGAAGTGTCCTAGGCTAACTTAGTGAAGCCTGGGAATGTCTGGAGCCCATGTGCTGTGCCATGCAGTTTCAAGTCCTTCTCTCATTCTTCCAGTTTATGCTAACCAGAAAGGAAAGTGCTTTAAGAATTTAATTAAATGTTTCATTTTTTCCTTGTTTTGATTTTTGGGAGATGGAAAAAGTAGAAAAATACTGAGGTATTATGTGGCCTTTGCTGTTTTTTGGTTTTGGTTTTAACTGAAGCCATCAGAAAAGTCAGTGTTTATTTACAGATACTCATGGAGAATGAAGAGCTACTTTGCTTTTTATATATATAATTTTAGAAGATAAAACATTGTTAAAAATACATAGATAATTTTTTGTGGTGTTCAAGCATGTAGATTTGTTAAAATTCTTTTGTGTTTTTTGAGAGTTGTTCAGGGTATTAGGGGAGAATATTTAGCTTCTTCACAGATGAGAATAAAGAGCAGATGTGAGTGGTAGAAAAATAAAGTGTTTTCAGCCAGTCATCAATATACATTTGCTCAAAGAAAAAATGCTGAGAGTGAGTATATGAAGCATTGTGTGTGTGTCTGTAAAATCAAAAGTACACTGTGATATTCAGCTTTCAACTTGCAGTTGCATATGAATAGGAAATATGTTCCTATATGAAAATATACATCCTAAGTGTATTGCATAGGAAAGATTTCTTCACTGAGGGAGTTGATAAGCAGTGGAGCAGGCTGCCCAGGGAAGTGGTTGAGTCACCATCAGTGCAGATATTTAAAAGACACATATTGTGGCATTTGGCAACATGGATTAGTGGTGGACTTGGCACTGCTGGGTTGGTTAATGGTTGGACTTGATGATCCCAGAAAGGTTGATTCTGTTATTGTGTGAAACTGTGGAAAGATTGAAAAGTGGTTCTTTCAGCAAGATGATACAATTTCTTGAATGTGGCAGCAGTAGACAGTAGTTTTTGTTTTGAGCAATACATTTAGAAAATTAAATATTATTTTCAAGCATTTATAACCTATTTTCCCAAGAAACTTAAAATTATAATTATGGTTATTCCTAATTTGCTAAACGAAATCAGCTGTATTTAAGAGAGGAGTTAAAAGATGCTAGAGAGATTTTGCTCACTCAAGCTAGTCATTTAAAGTCCTACTATAGTGAAAAGAGGAAGAAAAACATGTCTGTAGAGTAATTCAACCTATTCAGACATAGGTAGCATAAAACATTTTATTGATATCTAGCACTACAAGGAAAATTAAAAAAAAAGAGATTAGACATCAGGGACCTTGGCAGTCAGCAAGCTATAAAAACCTGAATGAAACAGAAGAATACAAATGCAAATTCTGGAGTGATGAACAAGGAAGCACAGAGGATTTTCTGTGCTGAAAAATTGCAGTAATTGTTGCAGATGGCTTGCCCTATTTTTGCTATAGAATTAGAATTGTACTGATGAATAATTTCTTTCTGTTAAAAACACCCCTACACCATTTCTATATACAGTTATCATTCTGAAGTCCTTTTACTGATATGAGATAATCCTTTTTTTTTGATTCAGAAAAATCATGTAGATGTCATATAGAAATAAATGCAGAACCAATACCTTGAACACAGAAATTCTTACTGCCAGGGTTTAGAAAATAATTTTTGTGCACTGAGGGCAGATTAAATGTAACAGTGACAAGCACAAGGGAGTTCCAAAAGTGAAAGCTGTTTATTTCCTTTATGTTCCAATGAATAATACAAATGTCATACAGTACTTCAGAAATAATTACAGAAGGAATGCACTCTCTTTCAAGTATAACAAGATGTGATTTTTACTTGCTTCTTTTAAACATGTTGCTTTCATTTGTTTGCATTTTTTCATAAAATGAGTTTTGGTAAAATACATGTTCTCTGCTAAGCATAATTTCCCATATAAGCAGAAAGAAAACTATTCCTTTCTCTCTCACCATTTCTGCAAGAGCAAATCCCTAGATAGCAGCTTTAGTATGCAAATACTGAAAAGCATACTGCAAAATCAGTTCAGAAGAGCACACTCCTGATAGCATTGCCTTAGCAACGCTCTAGTTAAGATTAGCCCAGGAACCAGGGCTTCTGTGATAAATCACCATTTTTTTCATAACGTCCAGCACCACAGAGGAGAAAATTCTGACACGAAGGGTCAGATACTTGCTTTGCAAATCTGCCTTTCTGTAAGGACAGCGACCACAGAACTGATAGCCTCACACAACCACCTCAGGGTTTTTGCTGTCAGTCTTAAACTATGAGCAGAATGTGTGGCACTGTCACACTGGAGGCATACGTGATTGCAATATGACAGGAAGTGAATCTTGGGTTTGTGACAACATGCAGTGAAGACTTTGTATTTCACTAGGCGTTGATAACTGCCTATAGGGAACATCAGAACTTACAATGGCATAGGAAATGTTGACAATTCTCCTGGCAAGTGACTCTTACATGAACCTTGTTGCTCTTCCTGGGTTAAGTCATTGGTGGCTCTATGGAAAGAAGAAATCTGTTATCCTGTTCATGAAACTTGGAAATATTTTGGATAAAGTTCTGTCTCTGGTGTGACTGCCTTAAGGTGTTATCCTGCCTCTCCACAGATTTCCCCTTCCTACTCCTTTCATTTGACCTCAAATAAATACTTTGAATACCTCCAAGAGACTTTTTTTCTTATCCTTTTCAAAGTTAGTTGTTTCTCCTGGTGGCCTTGCTCAAACCAGGAGACTTTTACTCAAATCCCTTTGTGGTGTGCCCAGAGGCAGAGTACACTTCATGTTTCAAAGAAAACAATCAGAGAAAAATCTTGGAGCTAAGTGACATTCC